CTTATTTGCTCCAGTTTTTTTTTTTTTGTTTCGCCCTGCTGCTGCTATCTGTTTCTCTGTTCTTTCTGTTGTTGCTGGAGTGCAACATTTTGTGCATGGTCATTTACTTTTCCCTACCTCCCTCCCTCTCACTCTCTCTCACTCTCCCTGTGTGACAATCCCTTCGAGCAGTCTCCTACAACTGGCAAAGTTGCGATGCTACTAATTAAAAACGCAAATGGGTTTATGATGTTGCACAAGTTGCGGTTGCCTTCGGGAGTGGGACGGGCGTGGGGCTTTGGATGGGGATGAGGTATTATTTTGTATGCTGTCGCTGCAGAATTGTAGCATGACAAAAAGAAAAAAAAGCTGAAAAGAAGTTGTAAAGAAAAGCATAAAAGAGTGCGGCATTAAAACAAATTTTTGCTCGCTTTTTTTTCCTGTGGGTTTTTATTTCGGAAAGGAAAGGGACAAATACAAAACAAGTCCTGGTCCCGTTCCCTTTGCGGTTGCTCGGGGGGCTGCTACTTTTGTTGGGTTTCCCCCTAACACTTGGACCTCCTCTGACTTTATCGCCATCCATCTCTGAGACTCCACACTGAGACTGTGGGACGGGACTCCTCCATGCTTTTCACGCTTTTCACATTGCTCTCTGGCATGTTTTGTGTTTTATTAGCGTGAAAATTTTTCAAAGGTGTCAGCACTTTTTATGTCCTTGTTCTTCGTTTGTGTTATTTTTGTGCTTTTTCCGCTCTTCAAAAAACCGTGCGCCTTCTTTTAAATACTTATTTGCCGCAGCAAAAATAAAGACGAGGAGGTAGAATATTTGGTGGGAATATGATTCTATGGAGGGAGCGACAAGAAAATTATCTAAATTAAGAAAGGAAGGGAGAGCCGTTTCGTTAGTAATGAATTCCATTTGAAATATGCAATTAACTGATCGGAAACTTCCGAAAATGGCAGCTCAAAAATTGTATTAAATCCCTTTTTCCAACTCCTAACTTAATCCCCAGCTGAAACAGAATTTTGCTAGCCACTCATTAAAGATTCCTCTATCAACTATTCCCTTAATGGCCAGCATTCCCAGCCCCAAAAGCCCAACCGAGCTGACCGGAAATCCCCAACAACATCTCCCCTCAAAGTCCCTTTACCATTCGGTCTCCTTTTTGACCACGTCCCTGGACGCAAAAGGCCGAAGAAGCGGTGGATGGGGAGGGGAAGGAGAAGTCTGCCATTGTGTAATATCCGTTGACTATTATTCTAATTCATACCGAAAATTAAAAAGCTGCCTATGACAAGCCCTACCCCCAACCACCACGTTCAGCTTGTTTTTGTGCGAATTCAGCGAAAATTTCATGCAAAATAAAACCCCAAAAAAAACCAAAACGCCTTTTTGAATAGACGATGGCATTATGCTGCTGTTGCTGTTGCTTTTGGCGGCTCTTGGCATCCTTTCCTGTTTTTGTATTCAAAATAAAGCGACCGCATCAACGAAATAGGAAATACTAGCAGCACAAAAAATAATATTCGGTCTGTGTGGGAAAATATGAAAAAATTAACATATAAATTAGCACAGCAGACAAAATATTGTGGGTGATTCGGGAAGGAGCAGAAGAAGGTCGGGTCGGTCTCCTTTTGTTTTAAAAACAATTTTGGTGGCATAAATATACGGCTGGCAATTAAAAATATTTTTTAATGTATCTCAGATGGGAGGGTGGGAACAGAAAGGACATTGATTAAATGTTGAAAAAATCAAATTGCATGAAACTATGATTATCATAATAGATTAAACAAATAAAATAAATAAATAAAATAGATAAATAAAAAAAAAGAATTATAAAACCATAAAATTGTTGATGTACTTAATCGTAATTAACATTACCTTTACAAATTGGCTTTTACACATCACTTTTTACCGAAACTATTTACCTGTCGGTGTACATATATTATCAATAGCACAATTCTCATCGGATTCACATGTAAATCCAGTCGGGGGGAACCAATTAAACTAATTAAATAGGCAAGTTAAATCTTATTTGCCCTGAAAGTCTGGTGTGCAGTAGTTTTTCCATTTATAAGTAAGCTGAAAGTGGAGTAATGGCATAAATTTTGTTTCTTGAGGGGACATCAAGTTCGTTCGTTCTCTTTCGTAGTGACCAGACGTGTTTTTGTTTTGCGCTCCGCATTTTCGTTTTGTTTAACTTAAACAGCCGGTGTTTTTTATCTATAATTTTACTCTCTAACTAACTTACATTAAAATCATACTTTTACCGCGGGTGCATGCCTGATAATTGTGTAAAAACACAACTTATTTAATAAATTTTGTGCGTCGGTTAGTCGTGTGTTTGTGTTGTTGCTTTTCGTAAGTACGCCCTCTCATTACATTTAGCCGCTCTTTGTCATAGTTATTGCCATCTATCACTCTCTCTATCACCTAACTCTCAATAACTGTTCTTTCGCTCTCGCTCTTGTAACGTTTTGTGCAGTAACGCTCTCACTTATAAGCTGTTGCTGCAACCACTCTCCTCTCTCATCTTTTACCGATTTCGCTTTAAGCATTGCTCTAAGCATTTGCTCTGCACAGTGGTCTGATTGCTATTTGTTTTGAACTTTTTTTCCCAAAGTAAACAAAAATAAAAGACATAAATATGGAATTTTCTGTCGTCTGTGCCAAAAAAACCTGCAAGAAGCAGATCACCCATGACCAGCCCAATATCCCCTGGCTTGGCACCTGTAAAATTCATATACGTTCATAAATATATACAGTTCATAATGGCTTGCCCTATATGTATTATCTTTTAGCTCTATATCCTAATGCAATTGTGCGATCATTCACCTTAATCTTAAGACCAAATTTTGTTGCAGCAACTTATTGGCTTCCTGTCGCCTACCTCTACCACCCTCTCATATTTATGGCCAACACAATGTGCTGTGCGCCTTGTAAAACAATTTATAACTTTTGCGCTTTTGCCTAATAAGTTGGCTTGTTGTGGCCAATAAGTTGTGGCAACAACAACCCAAGATTGGCCAAAAGAGGGAAGAGGGCACAAGGAGGGGCAGCAGCGGCAACTCGTTTCGAAACTAAATTACAAGTACAGCAGCAGCAACAACAGCCGCCAGCAATGGGTGGGATAGCACTCTTCTGCACTGCACATCTTTGCCACAAGTTGGGGCTGATGGCAGTTGTTGCTGCTGCTGCTGCTGCCTTAACTGCTGTTAATTCTTCTAATTGTGTGCACGTTGTTTGCGTGCGCTAATGTCGCATACGAGTTTGTAACAACAAGAGCAGCAGCAGCAGCAGCTAAAGGCATCCCGAGAGGGGAAGAGACGGAACGGAACGGAGCATGCAAATGTGTAACTGTTTATGCCAGAGCGAGCACTTGCGCTCACCCTCTTACTCTCCCACTTCTTGCTTACACTGTGTGACATCTAGTGGTGAGAGCGTGAGCGGGACAATCCTCTCCCGCCCACTCTAAACGAGAGTGATTATTATAGAAAAACTTTCGTTAACAATCGTTGCGGTGTTGGCTCGTGCTCACGCGTGTCACGCGATCCGCTCTAGTGGCTCACTTGAGATTTTTGTTCATACGAGGAGTAGCATTGCATCGCGCATCGCTTGACAACTTACATGCATGGCTAAAGGGTGGGGGGAGTAGGGAGGAGGGAGAGCGACCCTGCCGCTTATTAGTGCAAAACGCTGCACGTACATGTGAGCCATGTGTGTGTTTGTGCACGTGTTTTTGTTATTGTTAAATGTAATTAAATTATGCAGATGAGTGCCAACGATGTTGCTCTCTCTCTCTCTGCCTCTGCGAGGCATTAACTAAGCTGCCATAGAAAAGTGTTTTTAGGTATTTGCATTTGACACCAGCAAAAGAGTTGGGAGGCAACTGTATCCTCTCGGAATCGTTAACAGATTGCCGAACAAGCTAGAAAGTTTCAACCAAAAAAAAAAAGGAAAAAATATTGGTTCCATCTGGCAGCGGTGGGATTCGAACCCACGCCTCCGAGGAGACTGGTGCCTTAAACCAGCGCCTTAGACCGCTCGGCCACGCTACCCCATTAAGTGGGTGGATGAATGGCTGAATCTAAAATAGAAACCCCGTACAATATATTTAAGTTTATCCCAAGCGGAACGAAACAATCGGGGAAAATTTCAAGAAAACATTTATGGGGAAAACTCGTGTGTAGTAATTGTTAAGTTTGTTCTTTATTTGATTTCATCTTCTAGTTCTTGAACATGGTTGAAATATTCTTCATTCGCTCGTGTTGCGATTTTGCCTTACAATTTAGAGAAAGAATTCCTTGTATGTGTTGTGTTTGTCCTTTTAGTGATACGATTAGATGATGATCCACATATTTGGTTTGTTTCGCAGTTTCGGCTACATTCTATATGTACTCGTATGTACTTGTATGTTTTACTTGTAAGTATTTACTCGTTTATATGCTGACACCGTTTTCCGGTTGTCTGCCTGGTTTGCTGTTTAACTATGGTTGTCCCTTGTAATTTGCTTAAATTGTATTTTCAAATTGATTTAATTTATTCATAGATGTAGTTCTCCCTCGTTTTTGCTTCTCTCTGTGATAACTAGATGAAAGATCTGCTGCTTTGTTATGAAATAGTATGCATATGAAATTTACGTTTGAATAAGTAAGTTTTCTTTTCATTTTCCTTATGTTTTTGTTTTGCTTGTAGGTTACTTTTAAACTCCCTTGTATTGGTTTTGCAATTTGTTCCATTAAATTGTTTATTAATTGTATGTACAATCGTTCAATAGTTCTGCCAACGCCCTTTCTCAGTGGCAAGTGAAAACACGAACCCAAATCACAATAAAAAAATAAGAAGAAAAAACACAAAACAGAAATCAACACGAAATTGTAAGTTTCTTTTTCTTTTCTCTCAAGCATAGCTATGTATTTTTTGTTTGTATTTACACACATAATTTATATATATAGTAAATGTACTTTTATGTATTTATTCCGTATGTGTTTATCTTGCATAAATTGCTTATGTATTCATATTCGGTTTTTTTTTGAATTCGTTATAGGATCTACATACACACGATTCGATACGTAGATATTGCCCAGATTTGCATAGTGTGTTTGCTATATCTTTTTAGGTTTTGTCTATCGTTCCGATGTGTAGTTAATGGATATCTGTATATATCGTTTACGGAGTTTATTAACTATAAAAATCGAGATTGTTTTATTTTCGGTTTTTGTATATTTTGCTGTTTTATTTCGTATTCGTTAATGCCTGTCTCTTTTTTTCTCTTTTCTTTTTGATTATTTGTACGGTGATAATTTAGTCTAGATACAAATATGTATAGTTTTAGTGACTGGTGCTTAAGCGCGTAAATTAAATGTAAGTATTTTTGCATGAAATTGCATTTTTCGTTTGTGAATTTTTCTTGAATTTTGATTTTGCATTTTGGCTTGCAAAAGCTTCTAATTATTTACACGAATTTAAGAGTGTTTTTAATTTAAGCAGAACTTAATAGTTAAGATCACTGGATGCAAATTAAATGACATTTCAGGAGAGTTGGCAGGGGGGGGCCAAAGGCGTGCGACTATTTTGTGACATTTTTCTTGTTGCTGCTGCTGCTGCCTCCCCTGCCACTTTCCAGTTAATGCCAAACCGTGCGCGCTCTTTTATTTACACCTGGATTTTCCCTGCTGCTGCGCTTTCCCCCTCTGATAATCACTCAACTAAATCCTAATTTATACAAAATGCTTTCGCCTGAATACACGTAACATAAGAATATACAATTAGATAAATTAGATCATAGCATGGATCCATAGATCGGATGTAGAATAACACATAAATCGTCTGGCGCAGAGGCCTTTTCCGCTCCTGCTCCTGCTTCTGCTCCTCCTCCTGCTCTAGCCCTTGTAGAAATGGTACAGCTCAATGTCCGGATTGGGATTTGGCTTGAAGGTGCGGCCCAGGGTGCCGCACGTCTTCCCCGTATATCAGTGATAGCGACGCAGACTGCCATTGTTGTTGCTGCCGCTGGCCAGGATTACTCCACCTCCTCCTCCTCCACCATGATGATTGTTGTTCGACAGAGTAGCCACATTGTTGTTGTTGTTGCTGTTGAAGGATCGCCGTCCGGTTGTGTTGCCATGGATCAGGGCCAAGCCCACCCCATTGCGCAGGGGCAGGGCCGGTGGTGGTGGTGTGGGCGTGGGGCTGGGCGGCAAATCGTGATCCAGGGGCAGGGAGTAATGCGAATTGTTGTGGATGTAGCCCGGCTCGGCCATCGCATCGCAGGGCTTGGCATAGACTCCTCCATTGTGGGTGTGGGTGTGGCTGTGCGGGCTGTGGGGACTGTGGCTGCCGTGGCTGCTGTGGTTGTGGTTGAAGTGGTCCTGGGTGAGGCGTATGCCATTGGCAAGGGCAAGGGGCTGGCTGTAGTGCGAGAGGGTGCTCTCCTGCATCCTGTGGCGTGGCAGGGAGGCGGCATTCAGAGTCTTGCCACCGCCATTGGCCAGCAGGCGCATGTCCTGCTGCGAGTGGTGCATCTGCGTCTGGCTGGGGCTCGGGATCGGGATCGTCTGGTTGTTGGTCATGTAGTGGATGTGGCTGAGCTGGGCGAAGGAGGAGGCGGCGGCGGCATGATCGACGGGGCTGGGCACTTGCAGCTGCTGCAGCGGTGCCGCTGTGCCGGTGGTGGTGGTGTTGGAGGCGATGCCACCCCTACCCCGCATCTGAGGTGGGGGTGGAGCTTCTAGCTATAGCTCGGTCACTGGAATCGGCCTGCTGCCCATATAATGCGACTGGCTGCAGGGATATGCGCCCGCGGGATGCACTCCCCCGCAGCCGGGCGGCGGTCGCGTCATGTACTCCTCGTCGGAGAAGGTCTTCTGGTACTCGCGCTCCTTCCGGCCCAGCGCCGAGTGTCCCTTCAGCATCTCCCGTATGCGCCGACGGCAGGTGTACAGCACCAGAGCCAGCGTGGTGATCAGCGCCGCACAGGCCACCACCAGGATGCCGATGATGGCCTGCTTGTTGGCCGCCCCGTGGGTGCAGCCGAGCAGCGGCTCCGACAGCTGGGCGAGCGGCAGATCCCGCAGCGTGGCCGGGTAGGCGCACACCACCGGAGCGTACTGGTTGCTGGCGTTCTTGCTGATCAGAAGGTTGCGCAGCCACATCAGCTGGCAGTCGCAGACGAAGGGGTTCTCGGAGAGGTCGAGGGTCTGCAGATCGGCCCACGGTATGAGGCCCTCGGCGAGGGTGCTCAGCTGATTCTCCTTGAGGATCACCGAACTGAGATGGGGCAGGCCGCCCAGAGCGTTGGCGTGCAGCTCGTTCAGCTGCTTGTTGCTGGAGAGATTCAGTTGCTCCAGATTGGTGTTGGCCGTGAAGGCGCCGCTCTCGACGCGCCTCAGCCGCTGAGCTCCCGTCAGTTCCAGCTGCCGCAGCTCCCGCAGTCCTGCGAAGGCGCCCGAGGCAACCACCTCGAAGTCGTTCTGGCCAATGCTCAGCTGCTCCAGACGGCCCAGACGCTGCAGGGCAGCCGTGGGTATGGCCGTCAGACGATTGTCCGATAGATCCATGTATCGCAGCGACTCCAGCCCCTTGAGAGCCTCGCCCGAGATGTTGTGCAGTCCGGCACCGCGCAGATCCAGGCGTGTGAGACCCTTGAGGTCCTGGAAGGCACCGCCGGGAATGGTCATGAACGAATTGGTGCCCAAGTAAAGCTCCGCCAGACTGGGCAGGCTCTGGAATGTCAGCTGCGAGGGCACGGTCGTCAGGGTGTTATCGTCCAGATAGAGCACCCGCAGGTTGACCAAGCCATCGAGAGCATGCGGATCGATGTGGCTGATGCGGTTCTGGCCCAGATTCAGCTCCTCCAGCCGCACCATGGGCGAGAACGTGCGAAACTCGAGCTCCGCAATGAGGTTGCCCCGCAGATTGAGGACACTGATGGTGGAGAGGCCGGTGAAGGTCTTGTTGGAGACCTGGCCAATCTTGTTGTGGTTGAGGTGTAGCTCCTGGAGCTTGGCGTGGTAGGCGAACGAGCGCTCCGGTATGGTTACCATGTCGTTGAAGGACAGATCGAGGAATGTCAGCTGCGCATAGAACTGCATCGACGAGTCGATGGTCTTCAGCTTGTTGTTCTTGATGACCAGCCGCTGGATGGCCGGATTTAAGGCTATGGGGAGCACATCCAGCCGCCCCTCGCCGCAGTTGACCATCAGAGTGTCGTCATCGCATTCACAGCCATTTGGACAATTTGCCAGGCCATTTGTTGGCTGTAGTGGGGCCAGAAGCAGGACCAGCACCAGGACTAGCAGCGACAACAGCGATGAGGTCGGCGAGGACGACGACATGGTAATTGCCCTGGCCGACGACGACCGTCGTCTGCTCATTACACGCTCTCACGTCTCTCAGTCCCCCTTGGTCTCCTGGTCTCCTGGACTCTGGACTCTGGGCTCTGTGTCTGCCTCGACGGGTTACTTCCTACCCTTTCTGACCGTCTGGTCTCCTCTCTGTCTGTCTGTCTGATTGTCTCTGGTGAATGGTGGTTTTGCTGTGTGGACTGTCTTGTGCTGGTTCTGCTGGCTGCTCGTCTGGTGTGCCCGCTTTTATATCGGGCTAAATACGCTTTGGCCAAGTTTGCCAATGGCTTTCGTATTTAGACTTCGACATTCGCCTGCAACGATAGGGAGAGAAGGAGAAAGAGAGCGTTAGAGCGCTTTAAATTGATTTTCCATTAGAGTTCGAAAATGGTTTTGGCTTGGCTTTTAGATTTTCATTGGATTTGGCAGCTGCAGCAGTCGCTGGGGCTGCTCTGCCCTGTTCTGCTGCCGTTTTTTCCCCTCCACCCACCCTGCGGGAGTTAATCGGTAGTTTTGTGGATTATTTTGCCTGTGCCTCTGGCTTTTACCCGCTTATTCGCTTTTTCGCTTTTTGGCTTCGTTTTATTTTTTTTTTTTTTTTGCCTTGTCGGACAGTAAACAAATGAAGACAATTTAAATGGCCACGGCTCTGGCATTAGGAATGGCATTAGCCAACTTCCAGTTGGCCTTAACAGTTTGCTGATTGGATGGGTTCCCCTTTTGACCTGCTCGCTGTTTGCTCCCCCATACGGCTTTAATTATCAGGCCATCTCCGCACTCGGCGGAGCCTGCCTTTGAAGACCCAACCCCCGGAAAGTGGTTCAAAGTCAGCCGCACCCCTAAAACACATACTCCTCGTACACGTGTCAGACAATGGCCCTAACTGGGGCCAACCCTTTGTGTCAACTGACAAGTCCCCAAAGTCAAACCCCCTGCCCTCGACTCCAACCCCAAGTCCATGTGCCAACCCTCTCCATAGAGTCCATGGCCCACAGGGCCCTGTGGGTCCTCCCCCTCTCCGAACAGGCCAAAGATATGCCGCAGCATAGTTTGGGCCAAAACTTAAAAAACAACTTGCATTTTGTTTGCTTTGGGGACATTTATCAGTTCCGAGGTCTGGGCTCTGGGCTCTGGGATGCGATCTGGGGACTATGGGCAAACAAAACTTAATTTAGCGCGCCAACAGCAGCAGCAGCAACTGCGAGAAGTTCAAGGAGAAAGGATATCGGCACGAGGTCCCCGAACGGGGCCCATAAAATAAATAAAACAAAGGCACAATTCTTCTCTTTTTTTTTGCTCGTTGTTGTTTTATTTTTCTTTGGGATGGGTAGACGAGCACAAAGGAAGTTTTCCCCCTTTTTTGTTGGGTTTTTGTATTTTTCAAACTTTACGCAACGTAGGAGGGGCCGGCCCCAAAGGCGCTATGAAAATAATCATAGATGTGGGTCATACTTCAGAGGGAGGCGCAGGAGCTGTCTTGCAAAAGGATGAGCGGCGTCTCTTAACTCTCGCTTTTTATTATGTAAATAACACATAAACACCCGGGAGCATCATATGAAGCAGCGCCACACACCGAAAAAAAAAATGGCATTCCCACAACCAGAACCAGAACCAGGACCAGGACTCCCCATCATTATCATGCATATGGCCACAAAGCAACTTGTTGAGGGAATGGAACGGCTCGGCACGGCCACCAGACTTTCACGGAGAACAAACAACTGACAACAATTTCAGGGAAATAAAAACAGAAATTGTGAAGTTTTTCCGGAGCACAGCTGCTTGGAGTGCATATGGTGGGATGGATAAACGAATGGATGGATGGATGGATGAATGGATGGATGGATGGTGGGGAATATGTGGGAAAAATCAAATTTAAATTGCTAAAATCCTGTTAAATGGCCAACGCAGTGCCCAAGGCCTGCTTCTCGATCTCGATGAGCTGTGAGCCCCACGACCTTTGGCTGTTTGTTGCCTCTCGAGTGGTTCAGAAGTTATCGGTTGGGTAAGGCTGAGGGGCTGAGTGTTTGTTCGCCGACGGGGATTGGATTGTGGAAGGTACAACACAGAATTTATGTGTGTATGCTTTCAACTTCAGAGTACATGTACGTATAGCACATAAGTACAGGAATATTAAACTCCTGCAATGCCCTAATTTAAACTTGATTGATGCTCGTCTGTGCTTCTACTTTCTCTCTCTCATTTGCTTAACATTAATGCACTTACTCGCACTCTGCACTCTTTTCTTTCCTTCACTCGTTACTCAGCGCACCTACTCGCTCCGCTTGCCACACGCTCCCCTTGCCGCTTTTCATTCAGTTTTGAACTATTCCCATTACACTATTCAATGGTATTTGGGTTATTTCCTTTTAGTTGCAGCTATTTAAATTGTCACCCACACACAAATGTGCTACCTTTTAGCCGCCTATGCAGCCAGGATATTGTCTGTCCCACCCCCCACCCCCTGAAAGTATGCTCTAAATATTTTATAGTCTGCCGTCGAGATTTTATTTTCGCTTTTTTTGGCGACATTTTTATTTGGTTTTGCTGCTGTTGCTGAAACTCATTTATTAGTTCCGTCCGTGTCTATGTCCGTGTCTGTGTCGGAGTCGGAGTGAGGACTCCGCCTGCCCCTTTTAGCCGCTCTTTTTCGCCATTGTTATAAATGTTTGGCTGTCAGTTGAACTCGAACTGTGGCTGTGGCTGTGACTGTGCAGCCTTTGCGGCCATGGCCCCAAAAATTGGCTACACTAAGAGGGTGGGGCACAACGGACAGTGGCAAAATGGTGGCTGGTTGGGGTTGGGATTGGGGGGGTGTTGGGAAACCTCGTTTTATTATATCTGTCTGGTGGGCGCTGTCCGGTTCCGTCTTGTGTTGGATTTTGGGCTTCCCTTTGGTTTTGCTTTTGCTTTGGAACTCCGTTTCTCTTCCACCCTTTCACTCTGCTACACCCACCCCTTTTCACACCCCCCTTCTATATTCCTTTTTTTTTTTTATAGGAAGAAAAAAAAGGGAATTTTTGGCCGAAACTTTTTCTGTTGCAGTTTGGTGGAAATTGCTAAATAAATGCAAGTTTCTTTTGATTTAATGGGTTTTAAAACCCATTCTGAGAGAGGAGGCGGTACAGTTGTGCCCAAGAGCGACAGAGATGCCAGCGGTTTGGCATCTTCCCTTTATCTGTTTGTGGCCTAAAAAGTTTGCCGCTTTTAAAAATAGGAAATAAGAATAAATATAAAAATTGACTGGTCCATAATGGTTTTCAGGTTTCCCGGTTTCCCGGTTTCCAGGGCTGCTGCTGCTGCTGCTCCAATTTCCAACAACTTTGCCTCAACTTCTGCTCTGCCAGCCATCAAACGTCAGCAATAAACTTCAACTTGTGCTTGTTTGCCTTTCTGCCCCAAAAATGTTTAATATTTCAAAGTAATGCTGCCACCAGGCAGCCCGGCCCAGCCCAGCCCAGCCCAGCACAGCCCAGCGAATATTCCCACTTAGCCCGGCGGACAAGCAACGCTAGAACCTTAAACCCGAAACCCTCCCCACCCAAAGGAAGGTTCCCCACTCCGCTCCGAACGCCGAACCCCTTCCCCTGATGTTATTTATATGACAATTTCGCTTGAGCGCGCGTTAAAATATCGCCGACAATATTTTATGCTCAATGCCTTGGCTCATGTTTTGCCAACAGCCAGAGAGCTTTGCCATCCCCCTCTGGACCCAACCCACACTCCTTTGCCACCACTCCCCCATTCTCTGTGAGTATATGCTATGATAAACTTGGCAAATTTATCCTGCTTTGTGCCATACGTCTTTTGGCACAGTTTCCGCTCAAGACATGTACTCCTGCCTGCTCCTCCTGCACCCCCCTGTATTTGCACTATTTGCACAGTTTACAGTTTCAGTTTTTAGCTGCGACTTCGACTTTGAGTCTGTGCATCTGGGAGATACTTTTTATTCCTGCTCCACTCGAGCAGACCCAATATTTGCCATCCGACAGAGAGACCAAAACAAAGAAATGCAAGCTCACGCACAGACTCCACCAAATTGGAAGCGGTATTTGGGGCAGCAGCAGCAGCACCCACCCACCCATCCAACCAACCAACCAACCAACCAGCCATTCGCGACGTGAGCCTGAAGGCTGTGTGCCAGAGTGAAAGTCGCTGTGGCAACATCCACTCGTCTGTGAAATAGAAAACGAAACAATGGATTGTGGATGGAATGGAATGGGTGGTGCTTAGGTGGGGCACATCGGAATGGAATGGAGTCGAGTCGAGTCGAGTAGAGTCGAGTGGTGTGCTGCAGAGTGGCCGCCGGGGGCCGCTTGCCAATTGCGCGTCGCCACACATGTTACTTCAATTTTGCAGTAATGGTAATCGCGGGCAAAAGTTTCCCCCCAATTGAATTGAGCTGGGATCTGGATTTCAGAGTACCAATGGAGCGCAGTTTCCATTTGGTTCTGCCAGTAGCAGCAGCTGATTTGTGTTTATGAACCACACAAGAGCTACCAAAAAAAAAAAAAAGACGGGGGCAATGGAGATTGTAATCATAGAAAGCGGGCTAATTTCAGAGGGGATCCAAGCAGCATAGTTTGTTATTTCTGATGAGGAACTAAGAGGAATTCAAGTATGCTTTTAGTTGGATATTAGTTGGATATTTGGTGACCCAGACGAAGGAAAGTTCCCCTTAAAAATTATACCTTTAAATAGTTTTAAAGAGCAAAAGAAGCTTACAGCATTCGATTAGTTATATCCATGCCTGAAAGCGTGGAAACCTGATACTTAATTCTAAGTAAACCCTTAGCCGGAAGGCTTTCCACTTTCACCTATTCCAGAGTTCAACAACTCCAAAATGTGCACTTAAAGAGGCCTCCCAGTGAGCTGGCTCATTTGTTGGTCCTGTTCTGGTTCAACGCGGAAAGCTCCCTCAGCGGTAATCTCTCGCTCTCCCCCGCTCCCTAGGACCCACGAAAACCAGCAACAATGGCGCTCGGCTTTGGATTCAAAAAGTATTTTATGGGTCCCTTGAACATTGAGACTAGGAGACGGCGACAACCACGATGACGACCATGAGGAACATAAGCAGGAGCAGGAGGAGGAGGAGGCTAGAGTCTGGAGGCTGGAGAAGGAAAATATGAGGAAACGGAGAAGGTGGATGATGGCGACGACAAGCCAAGAATTTTGGCAAAAGTTGGAACTACGACCATGGCTTTTATGGCATAATTCCTAGCACCGTTCTCGGTATTCCACTGGCTCTTTTTTTTGGGGGGGTTTTTTTGGTTTTACTGCCTTGCCAAAAACTTTGCCCCAGAACAAGAGAGCGAGC